AAATTAATTTAAGACAATTAAGACGCAGGTACCTAGCAGAGGTATCTATGGTATAAATACACGTGTCGAGGTGTTAAAAATAACGGTTTGGTGTTAGGAAAGAAACTCCAGTAATATTTATTACTACAACAAAGGTTCCAAACAGTGCATCACAAGTATTGGTATCGAAACTTGAATTAATGTTGAGACATAAATAAAAACAGGGAAGTAATCCAGATTATTTTAACTACCGCTACAGGGTTAATACAGTATCATTTCTGCAACTGGGTGGAAACAAGGTTAGGGTTGCGAAGTGATTCTGAAACAATCTTCAAATTTTTGTACTCACAATATTGGCGAAAAAGGAATCATCTCCCTTGATGTCAGTTCCTTTCAAATTGTAGCGTCGTATAACTTTATCAGTTTTTAGATCGAAAATAACTATAGCAGGAGGCGAAATCTGAGAAGGTTCTCCAAGGATGTCGGCCAAGCCGGTTTCCATAACCCACAGTCTGTCGCAAGAATCCACTTTCAACCTAAATGTCGAAACAATGTGGTTTTCTTCAGGAGTCTCCCCCTTCTTTGGTAAGATGTTGGCTTTCCAGTCTGGATACGGTACAAGCTTTGGTGATTTGTCAGTTGAGTTGAGTGGAATGTAGTTTAGGGAAGCTGCAACCCCGCTTTTCCATCTGTAAAGACATAATTATATTAGCGATTTTTTTCTATTTCAAGTTATATGCCATCAGAACCATTACGAATCAAGTAAACCTCTGAAATTTTTTCGAATTTGTTATTCATTGGCAATCATGTTTTCAACATTCGCGAAGCGGAATCAATTTGTATTCCCAAAAATAATCGAAATACAATTATAAAATAAGACATCCATAATTTGAACCTGAAATTCAGAAATCAACTAACTACACCCCGCCATAAAACTACTTTATTTCGTGGATCCTTTTCTTATAAAATCACTTTCCGCGCTAGATTATAGAAATAAACTGAATATTTACTTACTGGAACACAAATTGCCTCAACTCTTCTGCAAATGAAATAATTTTGATGTAAATGAGCATTTCTAACAGTTTGATTTTCATTAGTTTTTTTATAATGTTGGTAGTACTAACAGAAATGATTCTGGTGCATTTGTCACTAAATATATCTAGCATTTACGTATGTTGTGCATGTACAATATTTTTTATTTATTTTTTTCTCTCGAGGTTGAATGGAAGAGCAACTTCAGATTGAGTCATCTGTGAGAAAATGAATTCTGCCTTTTGATAGGTACGTGGGTGGATTGTATATATTGTATTCTCTCTTCTCTCTATGAAGAAATAAGACACGGGAATAGAGGAATCCTTGTTGTGAAAAGGCCTAAATTTTGCCATTGCGCCAATATCTGTGACCACTTTGGAGATAATTACTGCAGTGGAATCCACCAGTTCCCTTATTGACCAGACCGAAGCAGAATAATTCAGATGGAAAATCAGAGAACAGCTGGATCGAGAACCAGTTCCAACATCTAACATCAGCAATGAAGAACGTAGAGCTCTGAACGGCCTACGTAGAGACAACACCATCAAGATCCTACCTGCAGATAAAGGAAACGCTACTGTGGTGATGGATACTGTTCTCTACGAACAGAAGATCGAAGAGATTCTTCAGAAGGGACGATGCACAAAGATCTTACGGGAACCTACTGCATCAATCGAAGGGAAGTTGTACCAGATTTTGAAAAGACACCAAGTCTATTTTTTGGACAAGGAAAGATCATCGCTAACACCGCATCACAGTAAGCCTCCTCACTTGTATGGACTATCCAAAATGCACAAGAAGGACGTTCCACTTAGACCGATCATCAGCTCCAGAGATTCGGCTACTCAAAACTTATCTAGAATTTTCACTTCCCATAATACAACCATTACAAGGAAAAACATCGTCTTTTGTGAAGAATTCAAGGCATTTTGTCGAAATACTAGGGTCAATTGAAGTCACATAGGAAAATCAATTAATTAGTTTCGACGTAGAAACCCTTTACACCAACGTTCCGGTCGAAGAAGCACTCCAAAGCTATCCGAAGACGGGAACCTGAAAGAGAGAACGAATCTACCTAAGGAAGTAATTATGGAATTACTAGGATGCTGTGTACGAAACTGAAGGACGAATTCTTTACACAAGATGAGGGACTGCCAATGGGATCGCCACTTTCACCAGTCATAGCCAACATATATATGGAGTGGTTTGAAACTCTGGCCATTGAAGAAGCCCACAAGAAACCCCGAGTC